ACTAGAAAAGTAACGCAAAAAAGCGTTAAAGTAACGCAAGTAACGCTGCGTTACTCGTTACAAAAGCTATGAAAAATAAACGCATCTCGTTAGTAGTTACTGGTAACGCAGTAACGCATGCGTTACTGCGTTACCTGTAAAGAAACGGTAAAGCGCCACCCCTATTCTATGAAATCTTACTGACACAAAGTAAATATAGCATTATTCTTGCAAAAATTGTGTGAGAATCTGATAAAGGATCCTTATCACTTTCTTATGAAATCCTTATAAGATTCTTACTCGATTCTTATCTAATTCTTACAAAATTCGTGCAATTTTCGTGCCACTTCTTATATAAAAATCTGCTAAAAATCGGATAAGATTCTTGTGAGAAATTTCAAAAAATGTTGCAAGCATTTCTGTTGCAATTAAATGGCGTACTTTTTTTATACCTGTACTTTTTTTATTCATACGAGCAATAACATTTTCTTTGATCCTTCGCATACACTGGAACATGTTGCAACAAAAATGTTCCCTATTCTCGTTTACGGGGTACACGCTATTATTCAAATTACAAAAAGATGATTCCGTTTTACTCTTTTTCGATAGAAAAAAATTGTTCGACAAATACTTCATATTTGCACAATGAATCACTGATTACTCTACAGGAACGAAAATAATGACAGATATCTTTTCTTTCTTTCCATCAATAAATAAGGGTTCTTTCCAATGTGGACCGGGAATAAACGAGGTATAAAAACGACAGTTATAACATCATATGATCGCTCCAAAACATCTCAGTTATTGATCTCAGCCCTATTTCTTAACCAATTTTTCAACGATAATGGCTAAAACATGTGCCGATGTCGACTGGCCAACAACGAAAGATGGTTCCAAAAACGATGATCGTTTCACAATACCGCAAGTAACAAATGAAGATGGAACTAGAGATATGCGATATAATTTATTTGAAAAACCCAATTTCTGCAAATCCGAACAATTAACTACCAGCGGTTCAAATGAATATGAAGCAACAAGCGCTCCTCATGCACCAGGTAAGTTCTTTCTTTTGAAATAAATAGTAAGTACCCTTAGTACCATCTAAATTAACTTAGGTGTTTATCAAATTTCAACAACTGATGGTCCTGGAAGACCAACTACCAAATATACAGGAATGTCAGGTGATTTGAGCACAAGGATAGATCAACATGGTCGTGGTGAAAGTAACATTAGCGAACAAATGAATGAAGCATCTGGTCAAGGAATGAACACTCGTGTACAGTATTCCGAAACTGATAGTCGTGCTGAAGCGAGAGGACAAGAAATGTTTTTGCTTGATCAGCACAATTTTGACTGGAACGATCGAAATAACGGCGGACGTGATTAGATTTTGATAGTATATTTTCTTTAATTCAGTGGGAAGAATGATACAACCATAACTGAATAAACACTATTCAACAGCGGATAACAGATGTTACGGTGACATTTAGTACGTGAGGCGCAGAGATGCCAACTAAAAAAAAAGTAAAGGGGCCGTAAGAGGGACAAATTTTAGAAAACGGGGGGCGTAAGGGGGACTGTTTTTTCTACAAAGGGGAACAACACAAAACACATTATTTGTCGTGCGATGTCATTGAGAAAATTAAAGGCACATGAGTATATTCTTTTATTCTAGTTTTTCTAATATTACTATGTCAAAACATAAAATTTAATACAACTATCTTTTGTCACACAAAAACCACCAAAAAGTCGCTTCAGACGTTGTTTTTTACTAATGTGTTCATGTTTTCATTCCACGAATGCCCTTACCAGGGACATCTTTGTTATTCAAAATCATAGATCATAATCATAAAAATTATTGTACGTTAAATTTGTATTCATTCTAATTTTCGCGATTAATGCTCTTATTGTTACGAAGTTAATGATTTAGTTGAAAGGTCTTTGAACTGTTTTCCTTTCGTATGTATCAATAAATATATACGTAACTAAATGTTTCGATATGACATATCGAAACGTTTTAACGTATGTATATTACCTCATTTAATTAATATACATTTATTAATAAATACGAAAGGAAAAAAGTTCAAAAATCCTTCAACTAAACTCTAATTTTCAATTTTGCGTTTTTCTTATGTGAAATCTCATATAAGAAAAATTACTAAACGCTAAAGTTCCGTTAAACTGGAAGCGTAATACAAAAGTGAAAAGTCCATCGAAGACGGTCAAAAGAAACTATCCTTGGAAAGGGGGACATTATGGGGGGGGGCAGATTTTCACCGAGGACAAATCTTTAAATGTGGGATTGTACCCCTTATGGGGGACATCTGGCAACCCTGAAGCAGATATGAATGGCACAAATGAAAGCGGCATACTAAAAAGTAAACGCTTAGTTTCTGTGTCAGCCAAACTGGCAAATTGAATGCAGCGGATCATCATCTTCTAAATTTTTCTGCTCGAATTTTAGATAAAAATTATCAGTTTATCATTTTGAAGAAATGATAAACTATAGAAGAGAATTCAACTGTTCTCCTCTTCTAGTGAAAAATAGATACTTCAGAAATAGTCTACGTATGTTGTTTTGATACTGGAGTTCTACTGGAGCTGTATGAACGGGTAGAGCCTCCAAATTCTCTCCTAAATTCTTAATCGGTCTGTACAACGGAAGACCCAGATAAAACCGGCCACTTTTGTTCTTTGTTTTTGAGGCACTTCCCAGTGGTCCAAATAGTTGGTACTATGCTCATTCTCTACAAACCTGCTATTTAAATCTCTGACAGCATTTTTCTCGTTTGAGTACCATTCAGTATTTTGAACGGTGCTGAGTTGTCGAATTGCGACGTGCTTCCGTCATCTCCTTTCTTTCAATTTTTAGCCCATTGCTTGAGGTTCAACAGTTAAGTTTTCGACGTACAAAGTTAAAGAATTGTATGCTCTATCGATCTCACTCATTCACAACTTCGTACAATGTTTCCGCTAGGTCAGCTGAACTCATAATTAGTTCTCAACTGGTTTTTCAATTTTTTTTAATTAAATTAAGTCTGTTAATTAGTGGTTTCAATTGAGAAACATTGTTTATATATTAAAAGATGTAGAGTTTAATTCTGTGTAATGTAATAAGACTTAAACTTGAATTCGGAACGTTTTAGTACTTTTATAGTTAGAAAACTAAAGTTTGTGAAAAATAGGTTCAAAAGTTAGGTTATTGTAGGTTTATCAGTTTTTTGCATAGAAGAATTTTCCTAGAAGATTTAACTGCAAAATTTCGAAAAATATGTGAGAAGATGCAGAATTTTCCGGTGAGTCTTCTGATATTTTCAAAATTCTTATGAAATCTATTTTTGGATCAAGGCAAATATTTTTCTATTTTCAGTCTGTCGCAGTTTGACAACTCGCTCAAACGAGAAAAATGCTATCAGTGATTTAAATAGCAGGTTTGTGGAGATTTCCATTCTCTATAGAATAAGCCTGGAGCCAACTTTTTGGACCACTGGGAAGTGCCTCAAAAATAAAGAACGAAAGTGGCCGGTTTCATCTGGACCAAAAATATGTTTTCTTTTCAGCGAGCAGCATGGTAATAATTGATGATAGCTCTACTAAGGGAGCATTTCAAAATGCAAGCCGGTCGCTTGGCCGCTCTGCCGTTCGGTCGGTCGCAGGTCGTTCGGCCGCTCGGTCGTTCAGCCGTTCGGTTGGTCGCTCAGCTTCTCTGTCCTTCTGCCGCAGTGAAATTCTAAATTATTCTATTTTGTTTTATTTCGGTTCCATTGATTGTATTGTGGATACATATATACATTGGCATATATATTTATATAGTTCCAAATTATTCATTTCTTTTAAAATAACGAGTATTCTAGCATATACGCAAAAGAATGCAACAAACGAAGAAGAGAACGTTTTTATTTATATTGACTACTACACAAAAAATATACCTCAAATACACATTGCTGTTGCATTTTTTTCGGTCGCTATTCCTGTTCCTGTAGTCCCCCTATTATTCCTGTATTATAGAACATTTGTATACTATATATAGTTTAATTTTGTTTTGATATGGGTAAACATTTGAGAATGAATATGATAGAGTTAACAGCAGCTTTAAATCTTTTTATTAACATTTTGTTAATAGATATAACAATTTATTTTATTACTGTCGACGTTTCGATACATTTAGTATCATTTTCAAGACAAATAACAGGAAAATAACGGTTAAAATGTGTAAATAAACAATGTTTATTTACACATTTTAACCGTTATTTTCCTGTTATTTGTCTTGAAAATGATACTAAATGTATCGAAACGTCGACAGTAATAAAATAAATTGTTATATCTATTAACAAAATGTCAATAAAAAGATTTAAAGCTGCTGTTAACTCTATCATATTCATATATATAGTTTATATATATCGAGCTTGATTTTCTTTTCTAATTGTTTCTACTTCTTCAAAAACAATTAACCGTCATGTTTCCAAAGATTATTCATTTATCAAGCTGTCAATAACATATTTAAAGCAAGAAGAGAACATCTCTATTATATCATACTATTTAGGCTTTTTTAGAATAGAATGTTTTTCTTAATATAAGGAAGAAACTATAGTATCGTGTGTTTTACTTTATAGAAGTATAGATTTAGACAAAAACGAACTTAAAGGTCTAAATATTAGGGTAAAACAGAAGAATTTCAAATCAATATCAAATAGCACTACAAATCTATAAAATTAGTGATACTTTTATAAAATTTTGTTCTTATTCGACTGCATTTTTTATTTAGTAATCCGGCGTTAGTTAGGGCGCATATCAAAATTTAAATTCTATTCTATTTTATTTTGTTTAATTTCGGTTCCTTTGATTGTATTGTGAACATATACATTGGCATATATATACTTCCAATGTATTTGTTTTTTTAATAAACATCATTATAAGAGTATATATTTTTCTGTTTTTCTGCTTAAAGAATAAAATCAGAAAAGAACAAATTTTATATATTCATCAAATGTTCATCTTTTATAAAGGAGGAAGTGCTCACTGTAAAACTATTTCGTACTGCACCAACTTCGCGATCTACAATTACATTAATTAGAGGAGATCCATTTCCTATTTTTATACTAGTTTAAAGTACACGAGTTGTACACGATACTGATCTATTTTTCGAAAAGGATTCCTTTTAGTCTTTGAGAAATATGGCTGTGAATATTGTTGATTATCCTCTAAAAAATCAAGCTTTTTCTTGCTCGATTTGCAGAGACTTCTTTTGCTTGTCACACAAACTTGGTTTTTTAGAGGATAATCGACGATATTCACAGCCATATTTCTCAAAGACTAAAAGGAATCGAACTTTTCTGAAACATCATAAAATTTAATTTTGTGTGGTTTTATTTTCTGTTTGCATCCTTGATTTTTTTTCTCAACTTAATCACGACAACTCATTCCAGTATATATCTTTGATTCTCTATAAGCTTACTTTATAAGATGAAGCCTTAGATGGATTAGTATCGTACGGTGAACCAGCGAAGATTCTATTCGTCCATGACTGCTACAAAGTTATACGCCTAAGTTGAATCTCTTCCCCAAAATAGAAGGGCAGCCCTGAGACAATTTTGTAAAATCCATATTAGATATCCGAACGTGCTATTTTTTTCGAAAAATTTTCAACACTTGAGTTCTAAAAAACCTTGAAATTCTGCATGTTTTCAATGTTGGCTCTTGAAGTTTTCCCATTTTTTTCAACAGGAAGTCGTGACTGAAGTGAAGCGTATGAGTCACCTTTGTTATTATTCCTTCTATCGAATAACCCATCAGCCCACTTTTGTTGCATCTTGAGAAAACTTCTAAGCTGCAAGATTTGATCGACCCCTATGATTTAAAACTATTAATAATATCTGAGAATAGACTCTGATCAGAAAAGGCCACGGTTGTATGACGACTTTGAGCGACATCACCTTTGAATCATATGCTGATGATTTTGATGTGTGTCTGTGTGAGGTGTCACAGCCCATTGCAAGGATCTTCTTTGTTTAATAAATGAGGGAATGTTTTGTATTCTACATAGTTTCTTACTTTCAAGATCAAATAAGGAAAGTATAATCGATTCTGTCATCGCGACCAATTACATTCTGCTCAAATCG